AAAAAAAAAACATGCTATCTAATTGAAATTCAAGTTGAATAAAATGTACAATCTGTTACCTGCTGCAGCTTTTAAGCAATGTACACTTTTAAATATGTGAGGACAAACAGCTGGATGGGGTAAGCCATCCTAGTGTAAAAGTCAAATATGCTTTTGAGATACACACTTTCAAAGAAGTACATACACATACAAATCTTAAATGTCAGCCTAATGTTGCATACTCTGATCCATTTAAGTTGCACCTGGAAGAGTCACTCTTGCAGCTGCCCTTAAAGACCATATAATATGAAGGATTCAGTAGCTCTAGGGGAAGGGGGACAAGGAAGGAGCAATAATTAAATCCACTGATTCTGTTCCTCTGTACCCAATGGTTCCTAATTTGAAAAGCACTACTCCATTACAGGACTAAGCAGGAATTTAAAAAGAGGAAAATAAGTGGTTTCATAATTCACGTAACTGTTGGAGGAGCCTCAAAAGTCACAGTAAGAAAAATATTGAAAGTAAAAAATTAATTCTTTGAAAAGAGATAAAGGAAAAGGAAGAAATAAAGTGCAGTCACTTGAAAAAGTTATATTTATCTTTATCATAACTATGAACAATCAATAGGAGAAAAATGTGAACATACAAAATTTTAATTTGTGAAATAAGTCAGTGACAATGTCCAGTTGTGACAGAGACATTAACCTACAACTATTAGCTACATTACTTATGCTCCATATTCTCTTTACAGAAATTCTTGCTTATAAAGTCTTGCCTTTCTCTATGATAGCCTACATCTAGTGCTTTTTTGATTGTGTGTTCACTGAAGGAAAGCACATGAATACAGTCAGTAATTTGTTGGCACTTTAAAAAAAAAAAAAGTTGCTGATAGCTTCCATTTTTTTATAAAACTGGTACTAGCTTTCACTTATTCACTCTTATTCACTACTGGCTCTTTCTGTGATGGCTGCTGCCTTATCCATTTATGATGTCACATAGAGGTTAAAGCAACATTGTACTGTTGTGAAGCTGGCATATAAAGAGGCAAATGCACACTTGTAGTCATTAACCTCAGAATATCAGAGAAATCCAAGGTCAAGTAGGCAGATAATTGCTTCCTAGTCTGACTTTACCATGGTATGTAGCAAAGTACTTCCTGACAGAATCCTACTCCTAAACTTCCTCTGCTAGTTTAAGACTCTTTAAATTCTGGTCATTCTAAAGTTAGGATATTTATATATTTTAAAAGAAGTGTTATTTTGACATAATTTTATTACCAAAATAAATTAATAAACAATTTTGAGAGGCAGGTAAGAAATTAGGGAACAATTTTGAGAGGCATGTAAGAAATTAGGGAACTTTTCTTTTCATGGCCCAAGAAAAGATGTCTTGGTTTTACATTAGTAATATAATCATTTCCATCTTTTTCACCTAGATCATATAGATAAGTGTTTTTCAGACGTGGGCAATAATATGAACCCCCAGGACTAACAAATTAGTTTTTTACATTACCTAAAAATATACTAACATAAACCTAGATAAATTCTTATCGCTCATAGCCTTTACAATTATAAAACCAAAAAATTTATCTAGCACAAACAAAAGCATATTACTATACCAAAATATTCAAGTGAAGAATAGTATGTTTTCATTTTAGATGGTATTTTGCAGCTCTCAATGTAAATACTACTGCTTTCATAAGTTTTTGGAGTTCATTTTTCCCTGTGAGCCATCCTTCCTCTGCTTTTCTTTTACTGAACAATACAACAAGTCAATTGTATTAGTTCCATAGTATTAGTATGAGTAACTAATACTATTAGTTCAATAAGAGAACTAGCCTTCACTAAGCATGAAAGGATCATTAACATAACAAGTCTACTCTGTGCTCTTCTGAATCACTAGTAAATTACTACATTACTCTTTATACTATTTTGTATTCATGTCAAATAAACACCTTAGTTTAAGAAATAAGATGTCAGTTTTCTATGAAAAGTGTCTTTTTTTTTGAGACAGAGTCTCACTCAGGAGAGTGACATGGCATCATAGCTCACAGAAACCTCAAACTCTTGGGCTCAAGCAATCTTCTTGCCTCAGCCTCCTGAGTGGCTGGGACTCAGGCGCCCACCACAATGCCTGGATAATTTTTCTATTTTTAGTAGAGACAGGGTCTTGCTCTTGCTCAGGCTGGTCTCAAACTCCTGAGCTTAGGCGATCTACCTGCCTCAGCCTCCCAGAGTGCTAGGATTACAGGTATGAGCCACCACACCTGGCCAAAAGCATCTTTCAATTATTGCTGATCACTGCAAAAAGAAAAGTTTGCTTTATATCCACTGGTATACTAATATAGAATGACTGGTTTATTCTGACATTTGGACAAACCAACCTAACTATAATCAGATCTCTATCAATACATAAAAGGAATTATTTAGTACCAAAGTTGTTGTAAGTATTGCTATAAAATTGGCACTGAAATCTCATGCTAATAGACAGTTACAATATGGTCATCCAGATTATGCAGACATGTGTATGCTAATTTCTAAAATAATCATTGAAATAAAGACACAGAGAGTTCTCATTGAGGAAACCCACAAATCTCCAAGAATATGTATGTATATAGGCTTGGTTTGAGAAAAACTAATCCTATGTCACACAAGTGAATCCCTTTAAAGTTTCAAAACAAAATGAAATCCTTTAATGAACAGGCATTCATTTAACATTGCTTTAGTCTTTCCTTTTTCTTGGAGATGGGGTCTTACTGTGTTGCCTGGGCAGAACTCAAATTCCTGAGCTCAAGGAATCCTGCTTCAGCCTCCTGAGTAGCTGGGACTACAGACATGCCACACCACACCCAGGTATACTTCAGTTTCTTTGGAAAAAACTACAGATTTGTATCACTTGCCTCGACGCATGGCATTCTCCCAGAAAAATGAGCAGATGTATAACCAAATGTGACATTTGCTATCAGCTTAAGTCCTAGCTGACGCGCATCGAGCATTCGTGACAGGACTCTGTCTTGCTTGTAAGCCTTCATTGACTGCTTCACCATAAGTCTGGTCTTCAAAATTTCTTCAAGCATTCTTGGTAGCACACCCTTTCTTACTGAAGGCTATCATAAAGAAAAAAAGAATGTTTAAAATCCCTTTAACATTTTAGATACAGATAATAAAGAAGGAAGCACAAAGTACAATAATGGCCAACTGTCATGAATTAAAACATGCTAACAACAGAATGACCACAGTACTAGTGGCCATCAATATAAAATCATCACATTTTATTTTTTTGGAAGAGGATTTTCTCCTGAAAGGATCCTGTAATGTTTACAAATCTAATGGAGCACTACTATGTGAGTTCAGAGACCTCCAGGAAAGAGGATGTCAACTAGTGTAGAAATAACCATACAAAAGTTCAGAGGGATATTTTGTTCAAAACTTTGATAGAAACCCCCATTCTTTCAAAAGACACACCGGACTTGTATCACTCATAACCAACCTCAGTTTTTAAAGATCTCATCCTAATGACCCCACACAGTGATCTGCATGGAACTCCATTTATCTACCTTGGAAGAATGATGAGCTGGGTTGACTCTGCTGACATTCAAACCTGCAGTTCCAGGGACTCTAGGTATTTCAAATCTGATGCTTAGACCACTAAGCCATCCCCTCCGGCCTATATTTATTAGCAATCTGGAAGAGGGGATGAATAGTGAGGTGATAAAATTTGTTGATGCCAAAAAAAAAAATCATTTGTATTAATCAAGACTAGGGAGAATTTATGAGAACTCCAGTAGGAATGAAAACCACAACACAGTATTAACGCTGATGATGATTCACAGACACGTGCAAGGTAATGCATGTCAGAGCTAACGATTAAAACCTCAGGTACAGGATAATTACACACCCGAATATTAAAAAAAATCTTATTCTTATTAAGCTTTACACATTAAGCAAAATGTAGTTGCAAGTTTTTAAAAAGTTGTTGAGGATAGGTGATAGAATAAGCTTCTAGATATGTGACAATGAGAATATATTCTAACCTCTAATTCATTTGGTGTACGTTTTGAACATATAATGTTTTAAGACATAATACAAAAAGAACAAAGACCAAATATGCAGAAATGTATGTGATGTGAAAACTGATTTTTACATAGGAACACATTTAATAAAAACAATAATTTCCATATCTCCAAGAAGATCTCATCTATGTCCCTGTAAATACAGTACCTTAAAATTTTCCAAAAATGAAATACATTATAAATTATCTGGTGAAAATTTTCTTCATCTAAATTGCTAATTTTAGTTTAGCATTCTCTTTTACTAGCAGAGAATAATGCTACTTTTGCTAAGTACACCAGAATGAATTTGAGGACTGGTGGGGTCTACTCTATCATCATCCACATTATTCTAGTAGAGACTCACTGCTAAGAAAATAGCAAAGAAGCATAAAGATGGCATTTAAAGGCAATATAATTTTCTAGATCTCTCTTACTTTTTCATTTATGAAGTTATTCTAATATCTTTTGAGGGAAGATAAGAGAGAGAAAAAAAGGACCCTGTTATTGGTTTGGGCATCTTCTTGAAAATGCCATAAATGAACATATTGGAGTATCATTAATTTTAAGACAGTCTCCATTTATTTAAAACAATAAGAAAACAATCAGCATTTACAATAAAGCAATTTAAATCTTTGTAGGTTAATATCTTGTGGTCATCAAACTGCTACTTAAGTCTGCCAGATTCTAATGGAGGGGAGAAGATATACTTGAACATTTATTTCTTTCAATATTTTATTAACCAAAATTTAACAATTAAAAGATTTAAACTAAAATTTGAGCAAAACAAAACAAAGGGTTTTTCTCCCTGATTTCTTAGAAGAATTTTATATCTTTGACTTGCTGAGATAAAATATTCAGGTAAACTTGATGTTTTTGTTTTCTATTATGTACCAACAATATCTAAACAATTATTAGTTCTCCACGAGTTAAGCCACAGTTGATACCTTTCATTTACAAGTGAGTATTACCTTGACAAAAGCTACTCCATTGGGTGACACTGTGATATCATGCCTAATTTGGTAAAGTAAATCTGGAGGTACTCTGAGAGAGGTACAGCCAAATTTGAACTCATCATACCTGTTAAGAAAAAGAACACTAAATAAAACTTTCTCACATCAAAGAATGGAGACATTAGGCAATTTTAGGAATCTTTCCAATTCCATCAGAATTCACTTTCAAATATCTAAACATAATCCGGATACTCAGTTACATGTCTACTTGCTACATGACCAAATCATGGTTCTTCAAAAATAGTTCACAATTAAAAGAAACACTTTTTAAATGGCACTATCCTAAAATTTATGGGTAAAATCTATATTGAAATACCAAATTTCAACTTAATATATGATTTTACTTATACTAAGTTACTTTAAGAAAAATATAAACTTTAAGTAAAAATGTTATAAAGATTATAAATTTCCCCAATTCTCTTTCTTAATAAAAAGACGGGATTAACAACACATTTTCCATAAATTCTTCCAGTGAATGAGTATATAAGAAAACCAACACTTGTTTTTAAATACACAAAAATTATAAAGGAAGACTCTGTATTTCTTACAATTCAAGAAAAATATCTATTCTTTCAAGAATTTAAAATGCTATCTTTATTAAGCTTATCAAAATTCAATTTACATGAATTAATAAAAACTAACATTTACATTTATAAAAATCATAGACTATTTCTAAAGAAAGTTAAGAGAAGATGACAGCTACAGTTATAAGGTCACAGTCCTCAAACTGTTCCACTGAAAGATGATTTACTTTCTTTTTTTTTTTTTTTTTGAGACAGAGCCTCAAGCTATCCCCCTGGGTAGAGTGCT